CTGGTGCTACTAAGCATTTATTCCGTATCGGAGCCGTGTGCTAGGCAACGCTCAGCACCCAGCTGGTGTTCTTTAATAGGAGAAACATGTGTATGGTCATCTTTAGCTGTTCATTGGGTTCTCTTTTAGCGGTTCTGCTGTGCAGCACAGCATATGAGAGCCACCTGCGAAAAGCTGTTTTCGCCTTTCGAGGTGTGTGCAAGAGCACAGCGAGTGGTCCTGTGACTTGAAGGTCTAATGACGCTATTTTTTTTAATTTTAAAATTTAGACGTGTTGTGTTAAATTTCCATAGACTTTGTACATCGTGGCCCATTTGCAATAATGAAAATATTTTTCCATGCTGAAATTCAGTAATCTGTGTCCTATTTCTTCAAGGAAACAATAAAGGGCTGCTATTTTATCTCGGTTCTGAGTGCGTACTAAACTTCCTTTAACCATTTTATCCATGATGAGGAAGGTTAATTAAATAAATAATCCCAGTACATTTTAATATTTTCATACACCTGACACATAATATTTTTTTGCAGCCCTGATAGATAGTATGTTAACTTACAATCTTTTTTTTAAAAAAGCAATGATTTTCTTGATATTTCCAGGAAGAGGAAAAAATATCTCTGGCATTTCCATTAACTACCTCCAGTTATTTTCTTGATAGATGTCTGCTACTTGTTTTCAGAATGCATAAATGCTTAGCCTTCATACATGCCTCATAGAAATGCTTGCTCGATTTCCGAGCTAGATTATTATTATTATTTAAAAAATAAAATCCTATGAACTATGATACCATCTGAGTGATTATTATATAAATGCTCGATTTTAAATATAAGTGCTTGATTTTAAATGTTTAAGTCAGCTCATTTGGAAGTACAGACCAACACTCAATACAAAATCAAAATAAAGTAGGGTTGCCACTCTTTTTGGGTCCGTGGGCTCATATGCAAACCAGCAGAACTGTTGCTGGGCACCACATGATGCTGCAACTTTCCACTCTCCCTGAAATACGACTAGGACCTGGGAGACTAGCGTTCAAAA